CAGATGACGCTATCGAGGTTAAGTCCGCTGCATAGGAACGACGGTCGAAACTACAAGAGTCCATAATCAGCCGTGGCTTGACTTCTTCGGATGACAACACTAGATCGACCGAGGCACGGCGTTTCGTATTATCTACAAGTCACGAATTTCAACACTGCAGAAGCGATTGCTATCAACCGATGGACCCCCCCCCTAATATCAAAAAAGAACATTATGTTAAGAGTAGTAAATTTGGAATAATCCATTCCATTCTTGATAGGTACCAGGCACTATTGATGGTCCTGGGCGTGAGTGTCATTCCTTGGGAGATCGTTAGTTTCCAACCAGTTGAATTTTGGTTTGTCCTCACCCTGATGAAATGGTCCTTTTACCTGTCCCCCTTTTATGTTTATCTGTTTCAATGTATTTTATTTTTCTGCGATACTATGTTAAATTCCTATGTTAACATTGTTTTCGGCCGTATGCACCATGTAGAGATGCAACAAAATCACCCTGGACATACATTGAGCAGTGTTGCGATTATAATCGTTTTTTGTGATTGATTTCCGGAAAGGTTTGTTTCAGTTTTCTGTGAATTCAACATACAACATCAGTCCCGACAACAGCATACACATGTGAGCACGGCGGATTGGTGCAACACCTTCGAGTGACAACCAACAGATGTACTGGATCGAACCGACAGGTCAACAAACTCCCGAGTGAGTGGTGCCCTAATCGACGACGGGAATCGGATCGCCAAATGCATGCCTGAACTTTATACAATTTCGACAATACTCTAGGTTACAGCTTGAATAATTCACAGCAGAGTATTTTGGTATCGAAGACGTGTAAGAAAGGAGAGGAGTTGAGCAGTGGGATGTGAATATAATTTACCTGTGATGGGATAGTCCACGTAGCGTTTCGTTTCTCCGTCATAGTATTCCGTTCCCTTGACGATAACCAAATGCGCTGGGAAATTCACACCCCAAGCAAGAGTGGACGTGGCAATCAAAATCTATACGGTAGAGAAAAATGATATTTGTGATCAGGAAAGGAAAATAATCCGTTAAAAGTAGGTTTGGGGATGATAAACAGTATCTGAACTACAATGGATCCCACATTTCTTCAAATTTGGTGTTGAATAAATGCTGCCTCAAATGGACATTCTTTACAAGCACACACTCCGCATCGCTATCCTATTGTCCATCTTCCTACTTTGTTCTTCATTTCATCCTCCCATTGATCGGTCCCTATGACTGTCCTCCACGCCGTTCACACATAAGTTCCACCATTAGTATGTTTGCTCTGCTACGTCGTCCTCTATGTTGGTCTCACTTGTCTCATCGATCCGTGCCCATGACACTTATGTGCACACACGCACGCAGGCACACGCGTACACAGGTTTACCGCATTGTCGTATCACGGCGGATCCTGGTGACTAGCATTCACACCTCTCTAGGACACTTCCCACCATTGTTCATTTGTGATAGAAATAATGCAATGAGCAAGAAAAAGCATTGAATAACTATTGCAACTTTTAGTGTCCCTGCCGGAAGGCGAATCCTGACCATTTGGGTCGCAAACCACATTCGTCACCCGTCAGAGACATGGTTGACGGTGTGGACGATTCATTGTATTAACTTTGACTGGATTAATCCATTCACATTCCAAGATACCAGACTTTCCCGCGGTAAGCACATTTCATGTGACAAAAAAACACGGTACGCAAATTCGTGCGTCTTTTTCTATTACTAACCTTAGTATGATGAACGGGGGAAAGCCTCATAGTCACGAGGACCTGCTGTTCAGTGATGGAATCCGGTAATCTAAGCCCCGGGACTTGGAGTGGTGAACCACATATGGCCCCGCTGGGTTAGGTGTGGTATTGAACCGAAAGACATCAGAACTGTTTGAGAACGTACACAGACTGAGACAGTAACATGAGCACATTTTCTGTTAAATCCTTTGGGAAAATAACGTTCTTTCGATAAAATTACCGAGCATATTAGGTGGATGTTATGACGGTATCAATTGGGCTGGAAAGGCTGTCTTCAGTTTGCGCGAAAGGACAACACTAATGATAAAGTTGCGTTCCTATTTGGGCGAACGTATTTGTCCTTATTGCTTCGCGCTTGGGGAGTTGACGATACCACAGTGCTGATGCGTAAGAAGCTGTCCGATCCAGATGTTGGATCGATTATTCGTCACTCAATGTTGTCTGATCATTAGTAGCCATACACTACTCGGCACTTCCAAACGGAGATTGATCACACACACACACACACACACTTACTTGTACAAAGCACGACAAAGCTGCACCGTGAGGTGGTGTGATGGCTTGTGCACCTCTCGGACCCAACGAGCTACACAGAATGGCTTTTGTCAAGCCCAAGATCTAATCATGCCAGGAAGGTCGAAGGGTAGAGGTCGGACGAAGTCCAGTCTTCAGGTCCTCCAGGTTGGGGGTTCGACTAGAATTTGTGTTCCAGTCGGTAAAAAATAGCCGAGGAGTAATCGATCCAAGTAAATGGGCCTCAACTTCGTTTCACTCGCTGCCTTGCAGTTAGGTTCTTTGAGAACTAAAGGCTTTGGTTGAGAACCCTAATCGTTCTCCTGCTTAGTGGCTGGACATCCGAGCAGCACCTGTCCATCAAAACCCAGTGAATATGCATTGCGAGTTTGGCAGCGATCAGTGAAGTTCGCTTCTCTGTATTTCGCTGTACGATGATGTACAATGTACTTTCATAGGTGTTCCCAGGAGAGGGATAAAAGATCTGATGAAGCAGACTGTCTTGGGTGTGTCTAGTTTTAATTGTAGCATTTTGACGGAATGAAACCCATAATTTTTTGACGATTGTTTAAAATGCCAAGCATCTCTATACAGACGGGAATTAGGGTGATGTGAAAATAGACAATATTTGAAATAGTTGCATTTTATTGTCTGATGCTCACTATGGTAGCTACGATGTAGGTACACGGTAGACAAAACTGTACTAGGGCACGATCTGAGTGTGCTAGGCTTAGACACCCACGTAGAAAGCAGTAGTGTCTTCAAGGAATAAAAGGGTAAATGATGTGTAAAGTTTCCTCACTAATTGACGGACCACATAGCTACATACACATGACGAAGTAATGCATAATACGTAACTATTTATTCAATCTGTGACTTCATTGTACGGTCGAGGAATAAACGTATCTGATTTGTGCCGGTCGTTCAAAGTCACATTTTCATCATACCACCATAGGCTCTGTAAACTGAAAGATTTACGATGCGGTCCTGGCAAACCATCAGACAAACGTCAACCTGCTTCCTGCTTGGGTGCTCTCATACCCCAACCACACATCTGCCCATGCGATCTACTAATGTGTCATCACTCGTTGAAATCGGTCATGTGACAAACAGCACACACGCACGCGCACCGTGGCAATGAAGCCAGTCATATGACCATGGGTGCACTAACAGCACCTATCAACCCACCACTCTGACCCATTTACGCATTCATGAACCCCACCAATCAGTGTGCTTGACCTTGTGATATTCGCGGTCATCAGTTTTGGGTGACCAGGTTCCAAAACACAATCGATCACACGTTGGACTATTCCGTAAAAACTCCGGGGATTCATTCTATTACGTTGTTTATTTATGCGGACTTGATGCGAGCACTTAACCCTATTCAAATGTCGATTAATACTCAATCGCCTAAATAGGTATACTAAATGTTAGTTATTTCTCACAGAACCGTATTGATATTCGCATACGTATCCCGTAAGATAAGGTATTTACATTTTACTCAACTGGGATTGCGAATAATCAAGCGAGTGATCAGACCGAGCTAAGATATAGGGAGCTGGCACGCTCTCCATACAAGAATTTGTCTCGTCATTCTGTATTTGAAAGTGATACATGGCCAGTTCCGCACAATCGACCATGTACCGGG